ATAAACGTAACCAAAGCCGTCAAAGATTGAGGAAAGATGTACATGTTCGTAAGTGCTTGCGTAACTGCTTCGTGAATCTGGCCTCAGGTACCCATTTTACTGCTGGGTGAACAGAGGCTACAGTTAAGGATTTTGTTTCACTGATGGTTTCTGAGGAGTCTATCAGCTTTTTATAATATTACAGGTTTTCTATGTGTGTGTGTGTGTACTCACCTAGTTGTGCTTGCAGGGGTTGAGCTTTGGCTCTTTGGTCCCGCCTCTCAACTGTCAATCAACTGGTGTACAGATTCAAACTGAGTATGGAGTCTGCCTCCCCCATATCACTGTGTGTGTGTGTGTGTGTGTGTGTGTGTGTGTGTGTGTGTGTGTGTGTGTGTGTGAGAGAGAGAGACAGAGAGAGAGAGAGACAGAGAGAGAGAGACAGAGAGAGACAGAGAGAGAGACACACAGAGAGACACAGAGACAGAGAGAGAGAGACACAGAGAGACAGAGACAGACAGACAGACAGAGACACTAACAGACACCAGCACCCCCGATAACTTCACCAATAAATTATAAATTCACCAATAACTATAAATTCCATGGCCATTATTCAAATAAAGAACTTACTTATACATGTAAACACAGTTCCCGCCACATCACTCTCTGTACCTCACAACCGACACCTCACGGCCCCTCACATGTTTATATACAAACATAACTCACACTTCACACTCATAAACACCAAAATATACCAAAAAATTAATGTTATTTAATGAGTCATTTACCGAAAAATGACAATATTTTGTTTTGTTTTTATATCGAGTTATTCAGTCCCCGGAAAAGTGAGCCAAAGATGTAAATAGACTTCTAATATTATATAATAATATATATTTTATATAATAATCTATTAGACTTTTATTTATATATGTAAATATCAAATTTATATATATATATAGATATAGCGGGTCTCAGTATATTTTGTTGACATAACCGCCCCCTCGAGGCGAGTGGGGTCAGTGTGTGTCTGGCAGGGGAGGAGGACGGTTGCGTGTCTCTGGCCTCCGGAGTGACATAGTCCGTTCTGTATTCACCTTCCTGTTTATTATATTCCAGCTGCTATTGGTCCATACGAGGCAGCTCCTGTTGGTCCACACGAGGCAGCTCCTGTTGGTCCACACGAGGCAGCTCCTGTTGGTCCACACGAGGCAGCTCCTGTTGGTCCACACGAGGCAGCTCCTGTTGGTCCACACGAGGCAGCTCCTGTTGGTCCACACGAGGCAGCTCCTGTTGGTCCACACGAGGCAGCTCCTGTTGGTCCACACGAGGCAGCTCCTGTTGGTCCACACGAGGCAGCTCCTGTTGGTCCACACGAGGCAGCTCCTGTTGGTCCACACGAGGCAGCTCCTGTTGGTCCACACGAGGCAGCTCCTGTTGGTCCACACGAGGCAGCTCCTGTTGGTCCACACGAGGCAGCTCCTGTTGGTCCACACGAGGCAGTATTTACCTAGATCTTTCCGTATAAACCAGTATTTACCCAGGTCTTCCCGTATAAACCAGTATTTACCCAGGTCTTCCCGTATAAACCAGTATTTACCCAGGTCTTCCCGTATAAACCAGTATTTACCCAGGTCTTCCCGTATAAACCAGTATTTACCCAGGTCTTCCCGTATAAACCAGTATTTACCCAGGTCTTTCCTATAAACCAGTATTTACCCAGGTCTTCCCGTATAAACCAGTATTTACCCATGTCTTCCCGTATAAACCAGTATTTACCCAGGTCTTCCCGTATAAACCAGTATTTACCCAGGTCTTCCCGTATAAACCAGTATTTACCCAGGTCTTCCCGTACTGGTTTAGCTAGGTTGTCTGGGGCACTATGGTGGTCTCGCTGACGAAGGCCCTGACCGACCCAGCCATCCTCCAGCACTTGAAAGTCGACCCCGGTAGCTTCAGGTAGGCTTCTTGATCAAGCAGACTGTTGCTGCTTGTAGCTTCAAGTCAGGTGCAGGTACGACACATCGACTGATATGTATGGGTGTTCTAAGACAATGTATATGCTTTTGATACTGGTAATGGCTCAAAAAGGCCACCACTTACGGGCTATTCATGCCCGTGCCACCTTTTGGGTGGCTTAATCTTCATCAATCAATCAATGTATATACACATTTTTATCATCTGGTAGTTCAATTGATGTATCTATGAGGATAAAATGGAAACTATGAGCATGAAATTAGATCACCTATGCACGTAGTTAATAAGTCAATATTGACTTTACGAATTTGCGAGAACGGGTTGGAAATTAGGTACTTTGTGGTTTTACTTTTGAGTAGGGCATAGGTTGGACAATTTTTTAATTCATCAGGGAGTTCTGAAGACTGGGTCCTTTTATTGTGCATGAAGTGTTTGTACAGATTTAGCCTGACTCTGGGGGGATATCAAAGGTATATTTATTTCTAGTGTGGTGCTCATGGGTTCTATTACATCTATCAAGGAAAAGTTATAGATCAAGATTAGCATTTAGGGAGGTTTTGCACGTGAAAATGTGTGGAGTGAGAGTATGTTTAGCATGTTAATGGACTTAAACAGAGGGGCTGTGTGTTGTCTGATGACAGTTTGTTATAGCTGAGTTTTGCCGAGTGATGATAGGCTTGAGGTAGTTGGCAGTGGTTGAACCCCATGCACAGATACCGTATGTAAGATAGGGATAGATTAGCGCGTAGTATAGTGCAAGGAGAGCAGAGTGGGGAACACAATATCTGATTTTAGAAAGTATACCAACCGTTTTGGAGACTTTCTTAGTAATGTATTGTATGTGGGTACTGAAGTTGAGTCTCTTGTCTAAGTATAGACCAAGGAACTTCCCATCATTTTTATTTCTGATTTTAACCAATGGTTAACCTTTACTGAGTTAACTTACTTAATTCTCCTGATAGACTTCAGGCGCCGTGTACCTAACCTCGTATAGGCTTCATGATTGTGGGGATTTTTTTTTTCTGCAGGGATATTCCTGCGCGGGCCCTAAGCCTCTGGCTGGCCCACTGGGCGGACCCTAAGCCTCTGGCTGGCCCACTGGGCGGGCCCTAAGCCTCTGGCTGGCCCACTGGGCGGGCCCTAAGCCTCTGGCTGGCCCACTGGGCGGGCCCTAAGCCTCTGGCTGGCCCACTGGGCGGGCCCTAAGCCTCTGGCTGGCCCACTGGGCGGGCCCTAAGCCTCTGGCTGGCCCACTGCGCGGGCCCTAAGCCTTTGGCTGGCCCACTAAGTGTTGCTTGTTTCTGTTTTACTTGAGCGGAGTATGAGTATTTATGACTCGTATGGTCGCTTCAGTAAGATTTTGCCATGTGTGTTTAAAACTTCTTCTGCTCTGTTGAATCCAAGTTGAAATCTTAATGGGTTTGTAACTGTGCACTGTGTTAGATAATGTTACAGTGGTCTGTCGGGCATTTCTCCACAGTGTTGACATTTCCTCTCATCTTCCGGAACCTGTAAGCCTATTTCCCATCCACATGGGTATCCAAGCCTGATGCGATGTAAGTGTGTTTCTGTTGCTCTACTGCTCCCTTTCATCAAACTAAGTGGTTCGTAGTTGGTTGAATTCTTGTACCAACCCGCAGATCCTGATGTTGCAACTGCTGTGTTGTGATCACTGTACATCTTTTGCATTGCTCTGTTTCTAATTACTTTCTTAATCTGTGATAGACTCTGTGGTATGTAAATGTCTACATTTCTTCTCTTAGTAGCAAGTTTTGCAGCTTCGTCTGCAATGTCATTTCCTACTATTCCCACATGACTTGGCACCCAGTTGATAAGTAAGTGTGGGGATTAGCATACAGGAGTTCATGCTGTTTAGCAAGTATTGAACTTGGGGGCTATTTTGTTGACAGAGGTAACTTTTATCATTTTTATAAATTTTGCAAGTATTTACCTACTTAAAATTTTCTTAGATTAAGGACCTGCCCGAAACGCTGCGCGTACTAGTGGCTTTACAAGATTGTAATTGCTATGCTATGTATCCTCACAATCCCAATGTACCTTCTTGTATATAAATAAATAAATAAATAAATAGGTCAATGTTGAAGTCGCTTCCTAGGTTGATGTGATTTTTGTTGAGTTTGTTGTTTATAATTAGGTTCCTTATATTATCAGAAAATGTAGTTGTATTAGTAGTGGCAAGTCTATAAATAGCTCCAGTAGTTATCTTTGTACTCACTGAATTTGTGCGCCCCTTGAGGGACTTGAAGTAGAGCGGGGGTAGAAATAGCCTAAGCTACTCTATCCCTTTGAGATGTATTTATTGCTTATCTCAATAAACATACTTGAACTTGAATCCAGTAGTTATTGACTATTTAAGGGATTTGACCGAGAATTGAACAAAGGTATATTCACAGCAGTCGTCTCTGTTGCTATTAACACGTGTGGAAGTGAAGATATCTTGATAATATATATACTACCTACGTGTTTTGTCAGGCCTGCAGCTGTGAATGGCTTTATATCCGGCTAAATTGTATAATTGGGTATGGTCTTTACATAGCCATGTTTCTGTTAAAATAATAAAAGGTGGTATAGAGCCTAGTGCTTCAAGTAGCGTATTGATGCCATCAAAATGTTTACCAAGTGGTTGATTACTGACACGTTAGTGTTATTTTGGAGTGGTTTTTGCCAAGTTTGCTGTGTAGTAACTGCAGGAGTGGTGATCAATGTGCTGGTTATTGTAGATATGTGATAGCAAAATTAATTAATTCAGGGTTAATGGTAGCTTGCATAGAGTAAGAATGAAGGAGACTTTAAGAATACAAGAATATAACAATTCTTGCATATATCTAAAAAAAAAAAAAAGATATTCTATTATAATATTTGGGAGGTGTGTGACAATACATTACAATTAAAATAAAAATTCAAATTAAAAAATGAAAATGAAATACAAAAAAGGAAGCATATATGATTAGTAATAAACTTAGCAAAATTAACAAAAATTAAACAATAATAAAATAATAGAAATAATTTCAGTAGAATTTCCGGCTCGACTGCCAGGGAGAGTAGAGTTGTTAATGTAACATTTACACATCAATAGTTACTTTTATTATGCACCCCATACCCATCTTGTGGGCATTAGTTGAAAGGGTTACAGAGGCACATAATGGGCTCAGGGACTGAACCCCACGACAATAATGAGACCAAATATGTATATTAGATTTACAGATGGCGTGAGGCTAGTGGTGGCGGCGGAGGAATGGGCACCCCACCTCACTATATATCATGGCCCCCATGGACCCCTAATGAAGGAGGGCCCCCAGGACGGCCTTCAGATGGAGGGCCCCCACGACGCCCTTCACATGGAGGGCCCCCAGGACGCCCTTCAGATGGGGGGCCCCCAGGACGCCCTTCACATGGAGGGCCCCCAGGACGCCCTTCAGATGGAGGGCCCCCACGACGCCCTTCACATGGAGGGCCCCCAGGACGCCCTTCAGATGGGGGGCCCCATGGCCAGTCTTCTGGAAATCCTCGCCCACTCCATCAACTTCACGTGAGAAATGTGTCATTACACATCATAAAAGTAACTATTTATGACCTTAGTATGGCTATTTGCCTTTAATATTCATCAAAAAGCTTTAAATCTGCGTACCTGACTAATGACTCGCCAAGAGTCCTCAAGGTAGTTTGCTCTCCTGACCACCTGTCAACACCTGACAGCTTAAGAACACGCCAATAAGGGCAGGGAATTAAGTCAAATGACCTTAATATGCTCGTTACAGACCTGACAGTTCTCTATAACTCACTCTCAGACCACCAAGCCTAACATGTCACTAATGACAAACGCAGCTGCTATACATAACTGCTATATACATATACATTCCACGCCGTATTATACATATAACTCAGAAACTGTCACATGATACAATGTGTAATTCACACCTGACACCTTAATAATTGACCAATAATTTTAAAATATTCATGATACATAATCCGTTATAATTTAGGTGCCGTAGTGTCTATGACAATGATACTTATATTTTTACTTTTGACAGCTTTATTGATTAAGTAACTGAGGAATCTGAAACGCAATTAGACAATGTCTGGCAGCTGCTATTGGTCCATACGAGGCAGCTCCTATTGGCCCATAGGACGCAGCTCCTATTGGTCCCCCATACGAGGCAGCTTCTATTGGTCCCCCATACGAGGCAGCTCCTATTGGTCCATACGAGGCAGCTCCTATTGGTCCATACGAGGCAGCTCCTATTGGCCCATAGGACGCAGCTCCTATTGGTCCCCCATACGAGGCAGCTTCTATTGGTCCCCCATACGAGGCAGCTCCTATTGGTCCATACGAGGCAGCTCCTATTGGTCCATACGAAGCAGCTCCTATTGGTCCCCCATACGAGGCAGCTCCTATTGGTCCCCCATACGAGGCAGCTCCTATTGGTCCCCCATACGAGGCAGCTCCTATTGGTCCATACGAGGCAGCTCCTATTGGTCCATACGAAGCAGCTCCTATTGGTCCCCCATACGAGGCAGCTCCTATTGGTCCCCCATACGAGGCAGCTCCTATTGGTCCCCCTACGAGGCAGCTCCTATTGGTCCCCCATACGAGGCAGCTCCTATTGGTCCCCCTACGAGGCAGCTCCTATTGGTCCCCCATACGAGGCAGCTCCTATTGGTCCCCCTACGAGGCAGCTCCTATTGGTCCCCCTACGAGGCAGCTCCTATTGGCCCCCCTACGAGGCAGCTCCTATTGGTCCCCCATACGAGGCAGCTCCTATTGGTCCCCCATACGAGGCAGCTCCTATTGGTCCCCCTACGAGGCAGCTCCTATTGGCCCCCCATACGAGGCAGCTCCTATTGGTCCCCCTACGAGGCAGCTCCTATTGGTCCCCCATACGAGGCAGCTCCTATTGGTCCCCCTACGAGGCAGCTCCTATTGGTCCCCCATACGAGGTAGCTCCTATTGGTCCCCCATACGAGGCAGCTTCTATTGGTCCCCCTACGAGGCAGCTCCTATTGGTCCCCCATACGAGGCAGCTTCTATTGGTCCCCCTACGAGGCAGCTCCTATTGGTCCCCCATACGAGGCAGCTTCTATTGGTTCCCCTACGAGGCAGCTCCTATTGGTCCCCCATACGAGGCAGCTTCTATTGGTTCCCCTACGAGGCAGCTATTGGTCCCCCATACGAGGCAGCTTCTATTGGTCCCCCATACGAGGCAGCTCCTATTGGTTCACACGAGTCAGCGCCTATTGGCCGACAGGATGGGTATGGGGTGCATAATAAAAGAACTAAAGCCCCCAAAACAACAACATGGAGGTCTAAAGACTGAGTTTCAAAGCAACATTCACAACGTGAGTGGGTGTAAGAAGTAAATGCACTAACGATGCACTTATTAGTATGATTAACTTGATTCACGCAGCTCTTGATAAAAATGAGTTCCCTGTTGGGTTATTTGTGGACCTGCTTAAGGCTTTTGACACTGTCAACCACCAAAACCTTCTTCTTAAATTACATCATTATGGAGTCAGAGGACACTCCCTGCAATACCTTCAGTCTTACCTTACTGACAGGCTCCAGTATGTTTCTGTGAATAATACAATTTCTCCCACCCTACCCATCAACATTGGTGTTCCTCAGGGCAGCATACTTGGCCCTCTCCTCTTTCTCATCTACATTAATGACCTTCCAAATGCCTCCCAACACCTCAAACCAATTCTATTTGCTGACGACACAACCTTCATTTACTCCAGTCCTGACCCCCTTGCTCTAAATGCCACAGTGAATACTGAGCTAAATAAAGTTCATCTTTGGCTAACTGCCAACAAACTCACCCTCAACATTGACAAAACTTTCTATATTTTGTTTGGCAATAAATTCTCAAATCAAATAAATCTCAGAATAAATAATACCCAAATTTGTAACAAATTAGATGGCAAATTCCTTGGCGTTCTCATTGACCAGAAGCTGAATTTCCAGGGACACATTCTAAATATATCAAAAAAAGTTTCAAAAACTGTTGTCATTCTTTCTAAGATCAGATATTATGTACCTCGCCCTGCCCTGGTGACTCTCTATTACTCTCTCATCTATCCTTATCTCAACTATGGTATTTGTGCTTGGGGTTCTACTACCCAAAATCATTTACGTCCTCTAATTACTCAACACAAAGCTGCTATTAGGACAATATCCAACTCTGGCCCCAGACATCACTCGGTACCCTTACTCAAATCTCTGAATATGTTAGATATTAAGTCACTGTTCATCCTCTCTTGTGTACTCTATATATTTAAAACTGAACAGTTATGCCAATCCTGACCTTAAAAGCTTCCTAGAAGGTTGTAACAGAACCCATGAGCACCACACCAGAAACAAATACCTATTTGATATTCCAAGAGTACGACTTAGTCAAACTAGAAATGCTCTACAAATCAAGGGAGCCAGAATGTGGAATGACCTTCCCAACCATGTGAAAGACTGTACCTCTCTTAACCAGTTTAAGTGTAAAACTAAGTACTACCTAATTAACTCCCTGTAACCTACCTCACCCCTATATTGTCAACCAATGTCTTATTATTTTAAACAATGCTGTTTGTTGACCAAATTATATATTGGGTATTTTTCTGCCATGTTCCCCTCTTTTTTTTTATTTTAGATTTTCTCAACACAATTTATACTTTAATCTCAATTAGTATTAAGTTTTAGTCTTAGTGTTTTTCCTGCTCGAAACGCTTAGCGTAATAGTGGCTTTAGGCATTGTATGTACTAACTCTATAAATCTATCAATGTTTCTATCTCACCTTGTATGTATGTACTTTACCTGAATAAACATTTGCAGGTGATGAGTCACAATAACGTGGCTGAAGTATGTTGACCAGACCACACACGAAGGTGAAGGGACGACCACGTTTCGGTCCGTCCTGGACCATTCTCAAGTCGATTGTGAGAATGGTCCAGGACGGACCGAAACGTCGTCGTCCCTTCACCTTCTAGTGTGTGGTCTGGTCTGAATAAACATTTGAGTTGAAGTGACGTTCTTCAGGTACTCCGTGAGTCGTCCAGCGGACGGGTCGTGGGGACTGCTGCACGACAACGGCTCCTGGTCTGGCATGGTCGGGATGGTCGCCAGGAAGGTCGGTTAATTGATTGATAAAGATTAAGCCACCCAAAAGGTGGCACGGGCATGAATAGCCCGTAAGTGGTGGCCCTTTTGAGCCATTACCAGTATCAATAGACGATACTGGAGATCTGTGGAGGTGCGACTGCACCCTGCGTGACGGGAGATGTCTCCCGTGGGGAAAGGTCGGTGCTCCGGCCAGATTCACGAAGCAGTTACGCAAGTACTTACGAACGTGTACATCTTTCCTCAATCTTTGACGGCTTTGGTTACATTAAACAATTTACAAGCATGAAACCTTGCCAGTCAACTGTTGTTATTGTTATAAACAGCCTCCTGGTGCTTCGGAGCTCATTAATTGTTTAAAAATTGTAAACAAAACCTCCAAAGATTGAAAAAAGATGTACTGGGGCCAGATTCTCGAAAGCACTTACGAACCTGTACATCTTTTCTCAATGTTTGGCGGCTTTGTTTACAATTATTAAACAGTTAATGAGCTCCGAAGCACCAGGAGGCTGTTTATAACAATAACAACAGTTGATTGGGAAGTTTTCATGCTTGTAAACTGTTTAATGTAACCAAAGCCGTCACAGATTGAGGAAAGATGTACACGTTCGTAAGTGCTTTCGTGAATCTGGCCCCAGGTTCGTACGTGCTGGCATAACTGCTTCGTGAATCTGGCCCCCGGTCTCTCCATTACATAGTGATAACCAGAGCGACGGTCTTGCGTCATGCAGGACGGCGTTCAATCCCCGATCGTCCATGATTGGTTGGGCACCATTCCTTTCCCCTCGTCCTATCCCAAATCCTTATCCTAATCCCCATCCCAGGATAATCCCCTGTTGAGGAGGGGATAATGATCGCCTCCTCCACGGACACAAGCTTAGACGATTGATTGATAAAGATTAAGCCACCCAAGAGGTGGCACGGGCATGAATAACCCGTGATGAGGAAGAGACTGACCTGTGGGGGCTTATACCTTGAGGGCGGCCACTACATGTTACCTACACACCGATTGATTGATTGATGGAGATTAAGCCACCCAAAAGGTGGCACGGGCATGAATAGCCCGTAAGTGGTGGCCCTTTTGAGCCATTACCAGTATCAAGAGCTGATACTGGAGATCTGTGGAGGCGCGACTGCACCCTGCGTGACGGGAGATGTCTCCCGAGCTTAGAGTCAGCTTGTGGGCAGACAAGTAGTGTGCTCCACAGACCACTTCCAACCCCCATCATGGTTGGCAGCTTATAGTACCTCGGCACTAAGCTGTTTAAGAACTTCCAAGCTTTACTTGGTCATTCACGATGCAGTAATACTAAGCTTGGGTCCGGGAACATCCTAAGTCCTCAACTGTTGCTCCTGTACCAGGTAAGTCCACTACGGGCTCACTATAGCCCGTGCTACTTGCCCCGCTCCTGTACCAGGTAAGTCCACTACGGGCTCACTATAGCCCGTGCTACTTGCCCCGCTCCTGTACCAGGTAAGTCCACTACGGGCTCACTATAGCCCGTGCTACTTGCCCCGCTCCTGTGCCAGGTAAGTCCACTACGGGCTCACTATAGCCCGTGCTACTTGCCCCGCTCCTGTGCCAGGTAAGTCCACTACGGGCTCACTATAGCCCGTGCTACTTGCCCCGCTCCTGTGCCAGGTAAGTCCACTACGGGCTCACTATAGCCCGTGCTACTTGCCCCGCTCCTGTGCCAGGTAAGTCCACTACGGGCTCACTATAGCCCGTGCTACTTGCCCCGCTCCTGTGCCAGGTAAGTCCACTACGGGCTCACTATAGCCCGTGCTACTTGCCCCGCTCCTGTACCAGGTAAGTCCACTACGGGCTCACTATAGCCCGTGCTACTTGCCCCGCTCCTGTACCAGGTAAGTCCACTACGGGCTCACTATAGCCCGTGCTACTTGCCCCGCTCCTGTGCCAGGTAAGTCCACTACGGGCTCACTATAGCCCGTGCTACTTGTAACTTGATTCGAGTAGCTGAATCTATAACAACGAAAATGGAAGTGGCTGGCAAAATTAACATATTGTCATGCGCCTGACAGCTGGGTGGACAGCGCTTCGGAGTCGTAGTCCTGAGGTTCCGGGTTCGATCCCCGGTGGAGGCGGAGACAAATGGGCAAAATGTTTGTTTCACCCTGATGCCCACTGTTACCAAGCAGTCAATAGGTACCTGGGAGTTAGACGGCTGTCACGGGCTGCTTCCTTGGGGTGGAGGCCTGGTCGAGGACTGGGCCGCGGGGACACTAAAGCCCAGAAATCATCTCAAGATAACCTCCCATTTTCTGTTTTGAGTCATCTGGTAGGTTAGGATAAGGGCATTTTAGTAGGACAGTTTCTTGACGTTGGGGCACCTTAGGAGGACGGGCTGGTTCATAATACATGGACCCCGCACGACTCCAGAGGAACCTCCTATTTATAGCCATCTACACTTATCTATATCTATCTCTGTTCAAGGTTGGAGACCAGACGCTTGTGGATAGCTTCACACAATTTTTACCAGTAATTGCTGAAGGGTATGTGCTCAACATGGGCAGGTCTCAACACAACCCATTGATGTACTTTCATATATTTCCGAGCTCCTTTATCAGAAACAGTTGGGCATGTTACCTCTCTCCTAGTGCCCCTGCGTTGAATCCTGGGAAGGGGTAGCAGTCGTCGTGAACACAAGCCTATATATATATATATACACAGGGCCCCTGTCCCCAACAAAATGCATTAAGCTATTAAATATATGACGGCGCCTCTTATAGGTATCTCGTCTGGTCTTGGCTTCAGGAGGCAGATATGGCTCTGGGACCCTTCGCCATGACAGCGGCGCGGGCGGCCGACACTGACTTTTGCCTGCCTTTCTTCACCGACTTCTCCAGGATGCTGGCTGCTGGAGGGCGCCCCGAGGTCGACCCTTGGGGCTTCCTCCTGCCGCTGGCGCCGCAGGTCTGGGCAGCCACACTAGCAGCGCTGGTGCTGGTCGTCCTGGCTGTGATCATCTTGTCTAACATCGCTGCTAGGACACCAGGATTGGCGGCACACATCTGCTTCACATACTACAGCGTGCTATTGCAGCAAGGTACGGTCGGCGAGGAGTCACAATAACGTGGCTGAAGTATGTTGACCAGACCACACACTAGAAGGTGAAGGGACGACCACGTTTCGGTCCGTCCTGGACCATTCTCAAGTCGATGACTTCTCAAGTCTTCAAGTCTTCTCAACTTGGAGGAAATGTAGATGTTTATCTCTCAGAATGTTTGGTAATATGTTTATTGTTTGTGATGTGTGTATATGTATGTATTAACACGATGTACTGAACGGGGTGAGAATAGTTTGAGCTACCTCATCCCTTTGTGTGTATTTTACCTCAATAAACTTATTTCAATTTCTCAACTTGAGAATGGTCCAGGACGGACCGAAACGTCGTCATCCCTTCACCTTCTAGTGTGGTCTGGTCAACAAGGTACAACCCCCCCCCCCTGCAACACCATCAAAATCCATCGCTTTCTTTCAGAACCAAAGCCTAATTTACAACTCTTGGGGTCCGCCAGCTGGCGTGTCGACCAGAAGAACGTGGGAGAGGCTGGCGGCCGGCGGGTGGATAGTAGCGGCACTAATACTATCCTGGAGCTTCTGTACCAACCTCACCTCTATCCTGGCCGTCCGGTACATCCCCCAACCCTTCCAGACCTTCCTTGACCTCATCCGTGACCATCACGCTGCCATCGTCATAGAGAGGGGCACCGCTGAAAACCAATTTCTCATGGTAATGTCCAACTTGTTTCTTGTTTACCTAATTGTTAATGATTAAATAGCTGGCCCGAAGTTGTACAGGGTTGTTGGTCAGCATTTATGACTCGTACATTTAAGGCAGAACTTATAGTTATGATGGTTCTGTATATATGGGCGTGTCTCAAGTACCGGGAAGGTTCTCCAGTACCGGGAAGGTTCTCCAGTACCGGGAAGGTTCTCCAGTACCGGGAAGGTTCTCCAGTACCGGGAAGGTTCTCCAGTACCGGGAAGGTGCTCAAGTACCGGGAAGGTGCTCAAGTACCGGGAAGGTTCTCCAGTACCGGGAAGGTTCTCCAGTACCGGGAAGGTGCTCCAGTACCGGGAAGGTTCTCATGGTACCGGGAAGGTTCTCCAGTACCGGGAAGGTTCTCATGGTACCGGGAAGGTTCTCATGGTACCGGGAAGGTTCTCATGGTACCGGGAAGGTTCTCATGGTACCGGGAAGGTTCTCATGGTACCGAGAAGGTTCTCATGGTACCGGGAAGGTTCTCAAGTACCGGGAAGGTTCTCATGGTACCGGGAAGGTGCTCCAGTACCGGGAAGGTTCTCATGGTACCGGGAAGGTGCTCCAGTACCGGGAAGGTTCCCATGGTACCGGGAAGGTTCTCATGGTACCGGGAAGGTGCTCCAGTACCGGGAAGGTTCTCATGGTACCGGGAAGGTGCTCCAGTACCGGGAAGGTTCTCCAGTACCGGGAAGGTGCTCCAGTACCGGGAAGGTTCTCATGGTACCGGGAAGGTGCTCCAGTACCGGGAAGGTGCTCCAGTACCTGGAAGGTTCTCAAGTACCGGGAAGGTGCTCAAGTACCGGGAAGGTGCTCAAGTACCGGGAAGGTTCTCCAGTACCGGGAAGGTGCTCCAGTACCGGGAAGGTTCTCCAGTACCGGGAAGGTGCTCCAGTACCGGGAAGGTTCTCATGGTACCGGGAAGGTTCTCCAGTACCGGGAAGGTTCTCATGGTACCGGGAAGGTTCTCCAGTACCGGGAAGGTTCTCATGGTACCGGGAAGGTTCTCATGGTACCGGGAAGGTTCTCAAGTACCGGGAAGGTTCTCATGGTACCGAGAAGGTTCTCATGGTACCAGGAAGGTTCTCAAGTACCAGGAAGGTTCTCATGGTACCGGGAAGGTGCTCCAGTACCGGGAAGGTTCTCATGGTACCGGGAAGGTGCTCCAGTACCGGGAAGGTTCTCATGGTACCGGGAAGGTGCTCCAGTACCGGGAAGGTTCTCCAGTACCGGGAAGGTGCTCCAGTACCGGGAAGGTGCTCCAGTACCGGGAAGGTGCTCCAGTACCGGGAAGGTGCTCCAGTACCGGGAAGGTGCTCCAGTACCTGGAAGGTTCTCAAGTACCGGGAAGGTTCTCATGGTACCGGGAAGGTGCTCCAGTACCGGGAAGGTTCTCATGGTACCGGGAAGGTGCTCCAGTACCGGGAAGGTTCTCATGGTACCGGGAAGGTTCTCATGGTACCGGGAAGGTTCTCAAGTACCAGGAAGGTTCTCATGGTACCGGGAAGGTTCTCATGGTACCGGGAAGGTTCTCATGGTACTGGGAAGGTTCTCAAGTACCGGGAAGGTTCTCATGGTACCGGGAAGGTGCTCCAGTACCGGGAAGGTGCTCCAGTACCTGGAAGGTGCTCCAGTACCGGGAAGGTTCTCATGGTACCGGGAAGGTTCTCCAGTACCTGGAAGGTTCTCAAGTACCGGGAAGGTTCTCATGGTACCGGGAAGGTGCTCCAGTACCGGGAAGGTGCTCCAGTACCGGGAAGGTTCTCAAGGTACCGGGAAGGTTCTCATGGTACCGGGAAGGTTCTCCAGTACCGGGAAGGTTCTCATGGTACCGGGAAGGTTCTCATGGTACCGGGAAGGTGCTCCAGTACCGGGAAGGTTCTCATGGTACCGGGAAGGTTCTCATGGTACTGGGAAGGTTCTCATGGTACTGGGAAGGTTCTCAAGTACCGGGAAGGTTCTCATGGTACCGGGAAGGTTCTCATGGTACCGGGAAGGTGCTCCAGTACCTGGAAGGTTCTCAAGTACCGGGAAGGTTCTCATGGTACCGGGAAGGTTCTCAAGTACCGGGAAAGTTCTCATGGTACCGGGAAGGTGCTCCAGTACCTGGAAGGTTCTCAAGTACCGGGAAGGTTCTCATGGTACCGGGAAGGTTCTCAAGTACCGGGAAGGTTCTCATGGTACCGGGAAGGTTCTCATGGTACCGGGAAGGTGCTCCAGTACCGGGAAGGTTCTCCAGTACCGGGAAGGTTCTCCAGTACCGGGAAGGTTCTCCAGTACCGGGAAGGTTCTCCAGTACCGGGAAGGTTCTCCAGTACCGGGAAGGTTCTCCAGTACCGGGAAGGTTCACCTGGACAGTATAGGTCTCGAACCATGGACCACACATGAGACACCACAGCACTTAACTATTATTATTTATACTCTTGCTACTTCCTAATCCCACCAAGCAGTTCCTCGTGAAAGTCTACCATCAGAATAATAATTATACACACAAATTAAAATCCACCTGAGCCGTGATGAGGATTCGAACCTATGCGCTTGGTATAGACGCAGCCACTAGACATAATGCGCCCAGGGCGTGCGTCTGGGAATACCCAGCGCATAAGTTCGAATCCTCATTACGGCTCCGATGGATTTTATCGGTAGTTGTTGGTTTCGGCAGAGTGCGACCTCAGGCACGCTGTATGACCTGGCGAGGCTGGCCCTCGAGGGCCGACTGAAGTATTACCAGTCCGAGGACCTGGCCTCCGTCCTTCATGGTATGACTGAAGGGCAACACAACGTCCTACTGATAGAGGACCTTAGTGCTCAGCTCTCCATGGCTGACCACTTCTCTCGTACAGGTAATTCCCGGAATTTAAATCTAATTTTAAAGTCAAAATAGAGCAAGAGTAGTGTAAAATGGGACAAATCGGTCCCGACTACGAGAGACGGTTATTGTCTCCCTTTCAACTACTTATGTACCTATTAAACCCACACTGAGTATGTATTGATTATTTAAAAAACAAACAAAAATGCAGAATAGATATACAGTAGAAATAAAGTAGAGATTGAAAGTAAAATTTCTAAAAATTTATGAGCCTTTATATATGAATAACGAACTCCAGTCATCACATCCAACACTGGGTGTCCCTACACAAGGTGTAACTATGCCACATGGGGTGTCCCTACACAAGGTGTAACTATGCCACACTGGGTGTAACTATGCCACACGGGGTGTCCCTACACAAGGTGTAACTATGCCACACTGGGTGTCCCTACACAAGGTGTAACTATGCCACACGGGGTGTCCCTACACAAGGTGTAACTATGCCACACGGGGTGTCCCTACACAGGTCGCTGCGACTTCTACAGATCACGAGAGAAGATCCTTGGCTTCATGTACAGTGTAATACTGCAGAAGAACAGCCCGCTTGTCCCAGCATTCAACGCCAGGTAAGCCTACCCCCACTCCACCAGCAAGATCACACAATTTCTACATAGCTATGCATGCTTTAGTGCCTTGTATGCATGTCAATGCAATAACTTTGTGCTACAGTCTTGAAAGACATCAATTACTCACACACACACGCAAATCACAATAGCGTGATACATGAAATGAACAAATACACAAGAGCCGTGAGGAGGGTTCGAACCTTCGTCCGAGACAATCCTTGTGGATTTGTTCATGGAAGACATCCTTCATTCACTCTGTAAATAAAATGAAGGATGTCGTGTTCATAGCAAATGGCACCACCTATGTGTTATAAACGAGGGGAGGAAGGGGAGGGGAGGATCTTTGACAAGCCACCGGCTTCCTGTCCTCGTCGAGGCCACTAGTGTTAGTGGCCCTCGGGTAAATTCTGGTAAATGTGTGCGTTTCATGCACCAACTGGAGGTGGTGCAGGGCGCTGATAGAGTGCCTGTATAATTATTAAAGTCACCAGGGCTTCTTAACTTTCTGATGTGTGATTTGGTCATCAAATTCAGGTCAATTTGTTACCTTGTACTTAAGCTTGTTAGTTAGTACTTAACTGAGTTTACCCGAGAGCCAACTTGTAAGTACAAGATCACGAAGGCATTGACGATCTTCAGTGATGAAGATCAATGATGCCTTATTTAATATTTTATATTATATATATATATATATATATATCAACCCGTTCTCGCAAATTCGTAAAGTCAATATTGACTTATTAACTACGTGCATAGGTGATATACTAAACATAATAGATACCCTTAAAAAGATTCATAGAAAACACCGACCTTACCTAACCTTGTTAGTATCTTAAGATAAGCATCTTATTGCTTCGTAATTATTATTATTACTTAACCTATACCTATTATAGGTTAGGTAATAATTGTAATTACGAAGCAATAAGATGCTTATCTTAAGATACTAACAAGGTTAGGTAAGGTCGGTGTTTTCTATGATTATTTTTAAGGGTATCTATTATGTTAAGTATGTCACCTATGCACATATTTAATAAGTCAATATTGACTTATTAAATTTGCGAGAACGGGTTGATATATATATATATATATATATATATATATATATATATATATATATATATATATATATATATATATATATATATATATATATATATATGTCGTACCTAGTAGCCAGAACTCACTTCTCAGCCTACTATTCAAGGCCCGATTTGCCTAATAAGCCAAGTTTTCCTGAATTAATATATTTACTATAATTTTTTTCTTATGAAGTGATAAAGCACCCCTTTTCTCTATGTATGAGGTCAATTTTTTTTTATTGGAGTTAAAATTAACGTAGATATATGACCGAACCTAACCAACCCTACCTAACCTAACCTATATTTATATGTAAGGTTAGGTTAGGTAGCCAAAAAAACCAGCGTTGAATGTAATGAAACGCCATTTTCTGGGTGAGTCCCGGAGGCTCCCCGGAGCTATCCCAGGCTGATATGCTAATGTCAGACTTTGGCATCAGTCATGTGTATGGAGTTCTTAGGCCTACCGGGGACCACGGCCAGAACCGGGCCCCCTCAGAGAGGCAAGGGGAGCAATGGCCTATAGAAGCCCCCGTGTAGTTGGAAGCATTCTATGTCTGCCATCGACCGGAACAGGCACCCAGAAAGGTAAGCGCCCCAAAACAAACCCCTATTCTGGTTAAAATTGCTACCTAATACCGAACTAGTGGATAGAACTCCCCAACCGAAAACAAGCAAATTAGTGTGACGTCACACACTGCCGCGCCGCTGTCTGCGCAGCTCCCCCCTCCCCGGGAGGGGGAAGGGGGAGCCCCAGACCCCCCGCGCCGGCTACCCACACCTCAGTTCTTGAGGCTGGATGTCAAAAACGCGAAAAACCGCCGACCGGAGGGAGGGAGGGATGCCGGGGAGCCTCCGGGACTCACCCAGAAAATGGCGTTTCATTACATTCAACGCTGGTTTTCTGGGGGGAGCCCCGTCGGCTCCCCGGAGCTAATTACCCACAGACAGAAAAAGAGGGACTTACCCGGGAGGCGGTCGTCGCTCACCCCTCAACTCGAAGCCGAGACAACTGGCTGCAACCGCCGACCCAAAGCAACACAGGCCCGACGAGGGCCAGGGACATTCACAAGGTAACGAGCAGCCAGGACCCTGTTCGACCGCCAAAATCCCCGCGCCCGAATATCAGACCAAGACATATTCCCAAAGACGGCAGCAAGAGCCGCGAACTTACGAACGTCATGGGCACGGGGATAGACCGCAGGCTGGCTAGACCTAATAACCCTGCGGACGACCTGAGAGACCCGAACCCGCGAACAGGGAAGAAGGGAAACCGGACCAACCCACAGCGCGTCCCCGGACACAGAAGCCGTGGCGCGCAAATAACGGCGAAGCGCCGCAACCGGACACAAAACATGATGCACCCCCGGCCTGACCAACCAAGCATCAACCACCCATGGACCCCTCCGGAACGCAGCAGTCTCATTCTTCGCCAGAAAAGAAGGAGACGGCTGCAAACGAACAAAACTATCACCACGACCAAAAGAGCAGAAACCCCTACGCCGGAGGAGAGCATGAAGCTCCCCTACCCGACCCCCAGAGGCCAAAGCCAACAAGAAAAGTGCCTTGGAAAAACAATCCTGGACCGAAGGGGCCACAACGAAACGAGGAGATGAAAGGAAAGCGAGCACTCTGTCCAAAGACCAGGACGGCTCAGGCGACGCATGAGCAGGCCGGAGGTGAAACAATGCACGAGACAGCTTGCGAAACGGCGCAGACGTAACATCGATACCGAAAGCAAGCTGAAGCGGCTCCGCCAGCGCCGCACGATACGAAGCGACAGTGTTAGGCATAAGATGACGGTCCTGAAACAACCACGAGAGGAAGGACAAGACCACCCGAACAGACAAGGAGCTAACACGACGAAGACGCAAAAAGAAACGGAAGGACCGCCAGGAAACTTCATACTGCCGCCGGGAAGAAGCCCGCAGGTGGGACACCAACAAGGAGGCCACCTGATCACCATAGAGATGATGATAGACTCGAGTCAAAAAAACCATACGCGAAGACTCGAGGAGAAGATCGAACCAGCTACGTGACGTACCGGCCCGATCTGCTGAAAGAGGCGGAGCCGCGGGAAAACCCTCGGGTTCGGACACCGAGCAACCAGCGCCTGAAACCAAGGCTGGGCCGGCCACCAAGGGGCCAAAAGGACAACTCTCCCCTGGTAAGTCTCTAAGCGAGTCAGGACCTGGAGCAACAGCCGAACTGGGGGAAAGAGGTACAGGAACCCCCACCTCGACCAGTCGAGCCGAAAGGCATCGACCCCGACGGCCTCGCAATCGGGGAAGGGCGCCGCATAAACGGGAAGACGCCGCGACCACGCCGACGCGAAGAGGTCCACCTCGGGGCGCCCGAACGTCTGGCAAAGCCAACGGAAGGACTCGTCGTCGACCGTCCACTCCGTGGAGAGGGGAACGAAGCGAGACAGGGCGTCGGCCAAGACGTTGGACACGCCCCGTACGTGAACCGCCAGGAGAGCCAAACCCCGAGAACTCAGCAGACGAGTCACCCGAAGCGACCAACCCCAAAGAGACAAGGACCGCATCGAACCCCCGCGGTTCAGGCAATGAACCACCGGAGAGCAGTCCGAATGGAGCCGAATCGTCGATCCGCGGGCCACCCGAATCCTCCCCAGAGCAAACCACACTGCCGCGAACTCCCGCACCGTACTGTGAGCTCGACGGAAGGACGGATCCCAACGCCCCTGGCCGGCCTGGTGAGCACTGGTCACAAAACCCCAGCCGAGAGACGACGCATCCGTGTACACATCGAGCGAGGGCTCGGGTAGGCGCCAAGGCACTGAACCCCGAAAAACCCGAAGAGGAAGCCGGTGACGCAGCAACCGACGCAAGTCCCCCGGGGGTCGAACTCTGCGATCGCGAGAGAGGCGGAAGGGGGAACCCCGAAGGAACCAGAACAGCCGTCGAAGCCAAACCCGACCCGGCGGGTAGACCACCATCGCGAAGTTCAGGCTCCCGCACAGCCCCTCGAGCAACCGCCGGGTGACCCGAGGGCCCTCCAGAAACAGACGAAGGCGGGACCGCAGCCGCAGGAGAGACTCCGGAGGGAGAGACAAGGAGGCGGTCCGAGAGTCCCACACGAGACCCAGCCAAGTCCGAACCTGAGAGGGAACCAGATGGGACTTCCTCCAGTTCACCAAGAACCCGAACCCGGCGAGCTGGGAAAGAACCAAATCCCTGGCTAGCAAGCAAGCTGACTGGCTGGGAGCCCAAACCAGCCAGTCGTCGAGGTAGGCCAACACCCGAACACCTAGGAGACGCAAACGAGCCACCACAACCCGTGTAAGGCGTGTGAACACGCGAGGTGCCAGGTTCAACCCGAACGGGAGACAACGAAAGCGGTAACTCAG